CAGCAGGGCCCAGCTATGCCCTTCATGCATCAGCTACACATGTGAAGAGGGCTTTTGCAAAAAGCTTTTGCAAAGACCATACATTTAAAGTGCATTCAAAGCACATGACTTCCCCCAAGGAATCCTGGAACTGTCATTTGTTACGGCGGGTACTGGGAGGAGTAGCTCTGTGCTTTTCCAAGTTCCCAGGATTCTTTGGGGTGGGGGTGGGGCGGGGCATTGAGAGAGAGTGATGTGTTTTCAATGTACCGTATTTTTTGCTCCATAAGGCACACTTTCTTCTTCCTAAAAAGTAAGGGGAAATGTCTGTGCGTCTTATGGAGCGAATGCGTGGTCCCTGGAGCCGAATTGCCCCGGGGCAAAAAGCAGATCTTGCTTTTTTTAAAAAAAAATAGGATGCAAAAACGTGGTTACAAAGCACGGATCCACATGGATTCTCAGGATTTTTGCATTGGGCTACCCCAAACTCACCGTCAAATCACATGTCTGTGGCCACAGCATGAACCACAAAAATCATACATCCACTGTTTCATTCAGAATATATATTTTTTCTTGTTTTCCTCCTCTAAAAATTAGGTGCGTCTTATGGTCTCATGGAGCAAAAAATACGGTGCTTCAAATGTATGGTGAAACATTTAATTCCCATTAAATGTTTTTCAAAGTCTTGGGTGTTTCAACACGGTGTGGTTTTCCTGTGCATCCAACACTACAATACTCTGTGTTCCTTTTTCCTCCTCGCCCCAATTTATACTGAGAGAAGACGGGGACACACAAAAGAGGACAAGGACTGTCCCCTGTGGGCAAGAGGGGACGAGAGGGGCAGAGGTGGCATTTGCTGCGTGGGAAGAGAGAGGGACGGAAGCACCACGAAAGCGAGCTCAGTGCAATATGCATCTTCTTCCCGCAAAGGTCAGCAGACGCAGGCCTTTTGCAGCATTACCACTTCCACCTGTCTTCTTGCCCCATCTGCGTGGGAAGCCTCATCCTGTTGTCTCTGGGCTTCTGCAACCATCCTTGCCTAGGCCAGCAAGATAAGATAGCAGCAGGCTGCTTCTATGCAAAGGGGGTAGCCGAGGAGGGGAACTAAGGATTAACCGGCAGCGGTTCTCAACCTGTGGGTCCCCAGATGTTGTTGGACTACAACTCCCATCATCCCTGAGCTCTGGCCTTGCTAGCTAGGGGTGATGGGCGTTGTAGTTCAACAACATCTGGGGACCCACAGGTTGAGAAAGGCTGGCTTAACAGGTTACAGCACTGCTTCTCAAACAAAACAAAACAAAACAAAAAATTCCCTGGGTCACCCTTTCAAAATAAAAATTTGCTCACGCCACACCAAGTTTTCTATTGAGAAAAGATCCATTGGAAAATGATAAGAAACTATTTCTTGCAGTGCTTGATTTAAAACGCGGAACATAACTGCTTTATAATATGATCATGGGACGTCCAGGTAGTATAAAACAATGCAGCTACATAAGAACAGGAATCGTTCCCAAAATATAATGATAAACGAGCCTCTTACATATGTACCTTAAATCTAGACCCTCCAAGTGCCCCTATTTCCCAGGGACAGTCCCAGATTTACAGAAGCCATCCCAATTTCTGTTCTGACCCCGGAATGTCCTGCTTTTCCTTAGAACATCCCTATTTTCATGAGAGAAATGTTGGATGGTATGGAGTTATGTGACTCCTGAGACAAGGAGATACAAGCTTTGGATGACATCTGAAGGCAGCCCTGTATAGGGAAGCTTTCTAAATGTTTAATGTTTTATTGTGTTTTTATACATGTTGGAAGCCGCCCAGAGTGGCTGGGGTAACCCAGTCAGATGGGTGGGGTACAAATAATAAAATTATTATAATAAAAATTGCTGTATACAAACTCAATGAGAGGTATGGGTGATCTCATTTATATTTGGTTTCATTTGAGACAAACTCTCATCTCCTCAACAACACAAAGAAGCCTTTCCCGATCTTTCATATTTGTCAAAAAAGCTACAGTGGTACCTCGGGTTAAGAACTTGATTCGTTCCGGAGGTCCGTTCTTAACCTGAAACTGTTCTTAACCTGAAGCACCACTTTAGCTAATGGGGGCCTCCCGCTGCCACCGCCGTGCAATTTCTGTTCTCATCCTGAAGCAAAGTTCTTAACCCGAGGTACTATTTCTGGGTTAGTGGAGTCTGTAACCTGAAGCTCTGTAACCTGAAGTGTCTGTAACCCGAGGTACCACTGTATTTTGAAAAGCTATCAACCCATATTCTGTGTGTGTGTGTGTGTGTGTGTGTGTGTGTGTGTGTGTGTCTGTCTGTCTGTCTGTCTCTCTGTGTGTGTTTGTGTGTGTGTGCAAAACACTGAAATGTTTGCCTGTTTCTTGTTCTTTAATCTTCCTGCCACCCTTGCCATCAACCCTCGCTTGCCACACCCTTTGAGAACCACTACCTTACAGCGACCTAATGTCTGGTTATCAGGTCTGGCTTGAAACTAACACCATGAGTGGGAACTATCAAGATGTGACTGCTGAGGTTTCCATATTGTGGCAGAGGAGCTGCTTTTCAGTGAATATGAGTGAACCTCAGAGAAGAGGGCACCAAAGAGTTTCCCAGGCTTCTGATAGCTGAGGCTGCAACTGCACATCATATGAAACGCAAGACAGGCTTTTCTCTCGTCTTGTAACATCTAAGGATGCCTCCAGACTTAACAGCTTCTAGCTTTATCCAAAAACTGTTTCTCCACTAAACCTCGTTCCACTTGCACATTGTTTTTCCAATCGTTTCCTTCGTCTCACTGGCTTCCAGGGTTCTGCTGTACTTGGTTTTTCCACTGAAAAATGACAAGCATCTGTAAATGTTTACTCAAAGTTCATTTTACAGATTTAAATGGCCTTATTTCAAATTCAGTGTGTGTAGGACTGCAGCCCCATATCACCCTGGGATTGCAAAAGGAACACACACACCCCACCAAGTCTTGGTCATGCTGCACAAATTTAAAATACCACTTTAGGCTGATGAAATGGTTCTGCTGTCAACTGGAAAGTTGGCTTGAATCACCTTTTGACAGATTCCATCCAGGGTGACTTATCGTAAAAGAATCAAATGTTACCTCTTCAGAGAAAATGGTAGTTACCTTTGGAGTCCACTTAAATGGCACAAATGTATATATGGTAGTCAGGAGATTGAACAAACTCAAGCATTTTAATACCCGTGAATATGTCAGATGACAAGAAATCCATGATTTGATCTGCCATGTCTTTTTTTTTTCTTGGTAAAAAGCTGCCACCACGAGGCCCAATTTGGATTGGTACCACAACACATGGGCTGTGATGTAGAAAAAGGAACGAGATTAATTTATGTTCCGTTAATCTGGTCTATCTAGAAATAGCACAAAATTTTAAGGAAGTTAACTGTAAACAATAATGCAGATGTTGAAAAACAAAAACCCTCAAAATGGTGGCATGCGGCAACGTTTAATGCACAGGGTTTTGCCCAAAGAATTAAGGGTACTGCAGTTTGTGCTGGCAATTGTAACTCTGTAAAGGATAAACTACAGTTCCCATGATATATTTGTTTTTTTTGGGGGGGAGACATGTGCTTTAAATGTATGTTGTTGAGGTGATTGCAGTTACAGTATAAATGACTGCATTTGTGTAAATAGGTATCTACTACTAATTTTAAATTTTGCTGGTATTTTCCAGCCAAACCATTCTGGTCATAATAGCACAGAGCGCCAACTGCCTTAGCTGCCAGAAAACTGAGCTACAACCTTGTTCTAGTGCAAAAATTAGTTGCAGCAGAGTCACTCTAAAACCAGCAGGGCTTGCACGCTTTTAAATGTCTACTGAAAAGTAAGTCCCACTGAGTTCAATGGAACTTACTCCCAAGTAAAGGTGCATGGGGTGCAGTCAGAAGCAAATGTAAAACGTGCAATTTATGATCCACTCACAAACTTTTGCTGAAAAGCTATAGCAACCAATTACATACATTGGTAGGATTGACAGAAAAAATTGTAGTAAAAAATTGAACTTTGGATCGACAAAGGATTTATAAAAAAATAGAGTTATGAAAGAGATGCAGAGGGGGAAATCCACAATGGGAGGGGGGAGGGAAGTCCAAAGGGATTATGTGTTTATGAATTTAATTCATTTGTTTATGTAAAATCGAAAATGCAAAAATAAAATTGAAAAAAAGGAAAAGGCGGCGGGTGATATTCAAATGTTCTTCAAGAAACAAAAATGTTGCTTAAAATGTGAAGAGGTGACTTAACACAACTGTAGGACTTTAATGTTGGGTTCACAGCTGCTTTGCATTTGAAATAAGCACCAGAGGCTGATCCACCAACACTTGCCTTCTCCAGTTAGCTCAGTTGGTTAGGTGCTGGTAATACCAAAGTCGGGACGCGGGTGGCGCTGTGGGTAAAAGCCTCAGCGCCTAGGGCTTGCCGATCAAAAGGTCGGCGGTTCGAATCCCCGTGGCGGGGTGCGCTCCCGTTGCTTGGTCCCAGCGCCTGCCAACCTAGCAGTTCGAAAGCACCCCCGGGTGCAAGTAGATAAATAGGGACCACTTACTGGCGGGAAGGTAAACAGCGTTTCCGTGTGCTGTGCTGGCTCGCCAGATGCAGCTTTGTCACGCTGGCCACGTAACCCGGAAGTGTCTCCAGACAGCGCTGGCCCCCGGCCTCTTAAGTGAGATGGACGCACAACCCTAGAGTCTGTCAAGACTGGCCCGTACGGGCAGGGGTACCTTTACCTTTACCTTTAATACCAAAGTCGCAGTTTCAATCCCCATACAGACCACCTGCATATTCTTGCATGGCAGGGAGTTGGACTAGATGACTCTCGGGGCCACTCCAACTCTATGATGATATGAACTCTAGAATTAGTTAGCTCTGCCTTTCATTGGCTCTAGCGCCACCTACTGTTGGCCTCCCTGCCAATTCCAATGGACACCAGCCACCACAGGAGAGAAGTCTATTTCTCTCTTCCACGGCTAACTGTGCTTCTCCTTTTTCAGGCAAGTATTCATCATGGCTGAGGACCATCTGGAAGTGGTCACTGAGTATCTCTATGAAGAGCAGGCCATAATGTGCGAGAAAACAGATATCCAGGCATTTGGCAAAGTCTTTCTGCCCATACTGTATGCCCTTGTGTTCACCGTAGGGCTGGTTGGAAACGGCCTGGTGGTTCTGACCATCGTGCAAGGTGGGCGTCAAAAGAGCGTCACTGACATATTTCTCCTGAACTTGGCCATTTGTGATCTCCTTTTTGTCATTTCTCTTCCCTTTTGGGCTTCTTACATCGTAAAAGGTTGGACACTCGGGAACATTTCGTGTCGGATAGTTTCCTCTTTCTACTCCGTGGGCTTGTATGGAGGGATGTTTTTCATCACTGTCATAAGCATTGATCGGTACTTTGCTATCGTCCGGGCAACTTGCATCATGAAAGCCAGAACAATCCGACATGGATCTCTCACTAGCCTTGCAGTCTGGACCTTGGCCATTTTGTTTGCAGCTCCCCATTTCGTGTTCATCCGAAATATAGGTAGAGAATGCACTTCTCTGTATCCAGAACACCTTGAGGAAATCTGGCCCATTTTCACTTACATAGAATATAATGTCATTGGTTTCCTTCTCCCGCTGTGCATCATGAGTTTCTGCTACCTGATGATCGTCAAAACCTTGATGTCCTGCAAAAATCACCGGAAAAGAAGAGCCATGAAGCTGATTTTATTAGTGGTGGTTGTGTTCTTCCTGTTCTGGACTCCATACCACATATCACTTTTTCTGCAGATATTGAGGCTCTCCGATTTCTTTCAGAGCTGCAGCTCAAGGAGGCTTTTAGATTACACCATGCAAATCACCGAATCGCTGGCTTTCAGCCACTGCTGCCTTAATCCCATCATCTATGCTTTCGCCGGTGAAAAATTCAGAAAGAAGCTTTCTCACTTGGCTCTCAGGTGTGTCTCGTTCTTTTTTTTCTGTGCGCCTTGCGATAGAGCTCCTGTTCCCGTTCCAGAGGTCACCATAACCAGCAACCATACGCAGAACACCAGTGACCAAGATGGCTCCATCCTTCTGTGATTGCTCCCTGAAGAATATTTTGTATACTGAATGCTAGTCTACAATTTGACCTAGATGTGAGTGAGCGATAGGGTTGGGTCCAAAGATCCATCCATGGGGAAAACGTCATGTTGATATATTGAGGACTGGATAAGATTGTGGAAAGTGAATTTGAAATTTACTGATTGTTTATTATTGAAGGAGAATTACATGAAAATGACGTGCAGATGGTATATCACACCAGTAAAATTGGCAAAAATGTATAAAACAGAACAAAAGAACTGTTGGAGGTGTAAAGAAGGGGAAGGTACATTTTATCATATGTGGTGGGAGTGCAAGATTATCAAAATATTTTGGGAAATGATATACAACAAACTGAAAAGTATATTTAAAATAACATTTCTTAAAAAACCAGAAGCCTTTTTGTTAGGTATTTTAGGACAAGAGCTGCTGAAAGAAAAACGGACATTATGTATGCTACAACAGCAGCAAGAACTCTAATAGCACAAAATTGGAAGACTGGAGAAGTACCATCTAAAGAACAATGGCAAGAAAAATGGATGAACTATGCAGAGTTAGCAAAGTTAACGGACAAACTGCGAGAAAAGGACAACAGGGACTTTGAAAAAGAATGGGAACCTATTACAATATATTTGCAGAAACACCAAAAAAAATGGACTTGTTGGCAGGATTGAAATAAACATTTACAATTATATTTACATAAAACAAGGAATATAACATTGTGATAACATAGTATTGTATATAAACATCAGAACGTATCATTTGATGTAATAAACCAGAAATGGAAGCTGAGGGAAGTCAATTGGGGGGGGATGAAAAGCTAATGTTTAGTATTAATAGTGGATATTTGTTTTGAAAATGGAAAATCAATAAAATCTTTAACAACAACAAAAAAGAAATATATATACACACACACATAGCATGCCCCCCAAACTGGTATCTGATTATGCATTAACATTAATGCTTAGAAAGTTCACGTAATTTAAATTTATTTCAGTATTTTAAGTTTTGTAGGTTTTGAAGTATGGTTGTAATTCTTCCTAATTTTTATTGTTTTATCCTTTAGTAAACTGCTTTGAAGGTTGTTGTGTTTATAATAAAGAGGTGTATATATTTTATTAAATAAATAAAGGATTTCTTATTAAGCCATACAAATTATTCAACTATCCAGCATAAGAAGACATCGCACGTTCTTTTGTAATTCAAGAAAATCTTTAATAAAAATTATTTCAAAACAAACAAACAAAAAACTATGCAGCATATAGAGTCCTGTAAAATTTGTTTTAGCAATCATAGAGAGTCATTACCAGGAAAGAATATAGGGAAAGCCTTACTGTTCAAGATAGCCGTATCTGCAGATAGTTTCATATTGTACCGTATATTGGATAAATGGCACACATCTCCGTTGTCTCCCAAGACAGGCAGATGCTAACCAACCAATTGGCCAGCATACTGCATAAAATTTGTCCATGGATAATCCTTGTAAAGCCTTCAAGGTTTGAGCTACTGATAGCTGAGCAGCCACTAAAAGAATAGTCAATAAATCCTTCGTCTTTATATTACTGTATCATGTTGTAAATATATTCAACACTTTTCTAACACCTGCTTTACTTATTAGTGCGGGACTATGCATTTACAAGGGACGCGGGTGGCGCTGTGGGTTAAACCACAGAGCCTAGGACTTGCCAATCAGAAGGTTGGCAGTTCGAATCCCCGCAACAGGGTGAGCTCCCGTTGCTTGGTCCCTGCTCCTGCGCACCTAGCAGTTCGAAAGCATGTCATGGTGCAAGTAGATAAATAGGTACCGCTCCAGTGGGAAGGTAAACGGCGTTTCCGTGCGCTGCTCTGGTTCACCAGAAGCGGCTTAGTCATGCTGGCCACATGACCCGGAAGCTGTACGCCGGCTCCCTCGGCCAATAAAGCAAGATGAGTGCCGCAACCCCAGAGTCGGTCACGACTGGACCTAATGGTCAGGGGTCCCTTTACCTTTACCTCTGTGTTTACAACGAATAACTAATAGCAAATATGCTGGGCCGGATTTAGGTTGGATGAGGCCCATAGCTACCGAAGGTAATGGGGCCCTTTATATGTCCATAAATGAGCAAACCAGTTATATTGTAGGGAGCAGGCTAGCGGACAGGGCCCATTACTTACACCAGGGGTATTTAAACTAAGGTCTGGAGGGTTCTTCAGCCAGAGCTTGGCACGCCAGCTGGCCCCACACCTGGCACCCGGCTCAGTGGTGGAGGGTGAGCTGCGCGCCGCCTGCCCGGTGCTCCGTGTGCGCGGCCTTCCCGCCGACCTGGCCTCGGACGATGGGCCGCAGCACGTGGTGCACACCACCTGGAAGCTGCACTGGGATAGGCCGATGGAGCAGCTGATGCTTGTCAACAATGCCGGTGAGCAGGCAGCGCCGAGACACACTCCTGAGCGTGTGCAGAGTGCGTTCCTCCGCCAGGTCCGAAGGCAGCTGTGGGACCAGTTTGCAGGGTATTTACTGTATATTTTTCAAAATATAGTCCGCCCCCCACAAGGTCTGAGGGACAGTGGATTGGCCCCCTGATGAAAAAGTTTGCTGACCCCTGACTTACATCATAGGAGCCTACACAACACAAAACACTGTTGCTGTATGTAGGTTTTATTTTATTTATTTTTTATCTTATATTTTCGAAATGTACATCCAGGTTTTTTTCCCTTTAATTTTTTTGGGGGGACCCCAAGAGAGTGGGGCCCTAAGCTATAGCTTGTTTAGCTTATACGTAAATCCGGCGCTGCAGATATAAACAACTAATAAACATTAGGTTGTTTAAAGCAGTTATCTCCTTAACTTGTGTCTGACCATTTCTTCTAGTCATATCTTATTGAAGGGGAAACTGGACGCTATCCTTGAACCTCTAGGATCGCAAAATGGTAGCCACAGCGCAAACAGAGGGAGGGAAGGCAGCGGCTACAGCACAGAGCTGTAGTAACTCCCTGTCAACCAATTCCTGGCCATGCTGCAAATCGCCCAAACCTCGGAGGGATAAGGTGCAGTATTCGCCTTTCTTCCATCCCTTCTCCTTTTGGCAGGACCAGAGGCCACAAGCTTGTGAATTACCGGTAAACGACACAGCGGTTTCCTGATCTGCTTCCACATAACAGCGTACAAATAAGTAAATAGCAGCCATTAAGCTGACTCAGCTCAAAACAGTATTAAACTTTGCACTGCTGTGCCCAAAAGGGAAGAGAAAGAAAGAAGAGCAAGTCAGCAAGTGTGTGTGTGTGTGTGTGTGTGTGTGTGTGTGTGAGAGAGAGAGAGAGAGAGAGAGAGAGAGAGATGGGTTTGTTCGATGCGAGACACCCTAAATTCCTTGGTCCGATGAAAGTTAGAATTAATCAGTGTTTGGTTAGTGAAACTGTGCCAAACAGCTTCTGTTCAAAATAGCTCACCAAGTGGGATGAAAACCTGATGATGGCCGAAATCATTAACCTAACAAAACTGCCATACAGCCCCCGGAACTTGAAACATGGGAAGTCCCAATAAAAATTTATAATTTGGCAGAATATTTTGACTATATGATATGTATTTGTATAATTTGGAATATTTAATGTGATTTGATTGGATTGTTAAAATGGAAAATTCAATTAAAAATTTATTTATTTATTTATTTATTTATTTATTTTAAAAAACTGCCATACAGCCAAATGGGGGAAGCCCTCCCTGAGCCCTGGATTTAGTGAGTAAAAGTAATACAAAAGTCCAGGAGGGAGATGTGCAGGATTGCAGTTTGCCTGATGTAGGGTGAAGAAAAACCCTGTTCTGTCTCTTCTCCGTGACAAGTGGGAGTGGCGGAGGTCACAGCACGAGGAGGGCTGACTGCTTTGGTGCTGCAGAAAGGAGTGTGAGAGCATTGGGGGTGCAATGCTTTGAACCCCTTCACAGTAGGCTCCGGTGTGTAAATAAACCAGATTGGGTAGTGATTAAGTTTAGTCAAAGAGGAAGATGGCTACCAAATGTTTGAAGCAGGGTTTTGAGCTCTAAGGCCAACTCTAAGGCAAGTTTCTGCTCTATAACCAACCCTTAGCATTTGCTTTTATCCCCTCTTCCATTTTATTTCTTAACTCCTTTTAGTGCTTCATTTTGTTGTTTTAATTTATTGTTTTATCTCATTGTTTTATTGTTCTAACTCCCCTAAACTGTGAGGCTCCATGAAGCTGGGCTGGGCTGAGCACTTTGCTAGGCGGTGCCAAATGCAAGTTCGAGCCAGATACATGATACTAGTTATAAATTAAGGAAGAGAAACATCTTGATTATCAGAACTGTTGACGAGCGAGCCCAGGTGACAGCTGCAGAGAGTCTCCAAAATGCTCTCTTCTGCTGGATGGCACTGACTCCGGACTCATAAATTCAAGGCCGCCAGATTTGGAGATAATTGATTTCTGCAAACTGCCGACAAATATTCATAATTATTATGGTACTTACTAGAAAGAACTGCAAAGATCTGGGAATCATGCCAGATTCGCTGAAGGAGACAGAGCGAAATCACACATTATTTTCTCCAAAAGGAGGAGAGTAAGAGGGAGCTGAATGAGTTAATTCTAGATGAGGCCATTCCTCCTCCTTCCACTGTTCTGGACTGGTCAACTCATCTTAAAGGGCTCCGGCAAGCTTCCAAAAATATTAACTATCCAACAAGATGGCTCAAGAACTGGCCTTAGCTGAGAAATCCTAGAAGGCAAATATAACTGATATAATGACCCAGAGGCCACCTTCTGAGCTTGGAAAAAACTTTCAAAGTCAACAGGTTACTTCCAAATATGCTCAAACAGAGGAGAGACACGGCTATCTTCAGAACCAGTTCCACTTGATATGCACGGACCTCTCCAGCATGAAAAAATTTATAATGATAATAAATGGGCTACTTCTGACTCTAGTGGAAAATTTTACACCTCAAGAAAGGGGCACAGAGCCAAATGACACTGACCAAATGAACAACCGACCCAAACCAGCACTGTGCCTCATTTCCAAAGGAAACCCAAACCATGGGTAAGACACAGACAGCCCTGGAATGTCACACAGCTGTAGAGATCGGGGTGCCATGTAACTATCTAGATCTATCTATCTATCTACATACCTACCTTCCTACCTACACACACACACACACACACACACACACACGTAGTTGCTTTTATAAAATGAAAGAGGAAGACAAAGGCAGAAGTCCCATCCATGCCACAACCAAGGAAGTCAGCAAAAGGAGAAACAAAATAAACTTCTTAGGCAAACA